GTAATGAACGGTTAAAAGCTAGGAACTGTTTAAGTACAGTGTACAGTGATTAGTTTCTAATCATTAGCAAAAGTGAAAGGAGACTGAGGCACATGCTAATGTGTATTGTTTTATCCTGCGCAATTCGTATTGCTAATGAAACATATAACAAAAGACCAGGAAAGATGATTGTATCACCATAGTCCACTTTAGTCAATCAGTAGCGACCTTGGCGTGGTACAACACGTGCGATCTCACCGGACCCGCAAGCTAGGGGGTCAAATAATTTGGAGATTGTTTAAAACAGATTATAATTAAAGCAGATTATTTAAAAATAATCTTAATTTTGAGGAGCCATTGTTCTCATTTCGTACCGACGCTGAATTCACTATAGTCTGGAATGTGGTGTTTTATCCTTATTAATACATGTATATGTCTTACAGCGTACATTGAGGAAAGATTGGTCACTAACAAACGCAAAAGATGATTATGTCACGAATGTGTTACCATATGTGCTCTTTTTATCCTCCGTGCAGCATGTTGCTTATTTAACGAAATATGTTGCAAGTGTCAATATATGGGATATCTAAATGAAAGGAACGTATACTTAGACATTACTTTCTATTTCTTTTGCTGAATTATCAAAGACAATTAAAGTATTTTAACGAATATTTCTTTGTTTTTTATGATCGTGAAGGCTGTTGCGTACATCTGCTGTTCAATACACGTTTTAATTCTTACGATAACATGTAATAGGTTCCGTTATTTTATGCTGGTTAGTTTAATAATTTCTATCATAATCACAAGTCCACTTTTTATTTTATCACACTCTAAAGAGTCAGCATTAAAAATTATTTTTAATTTTGTTGGGACTACTTTTTTTCTTCAAAGTAAAAACGATTATTATGTATGTATGTATGTATGTATGTATGTATGTATGTATGTATGTATGTATGTATGTATGTATGTATGTATGTATGTATGTATGTATGTATGTATGTATGTATGTATGTATGTATGTATGTATGTATGTATGTATGTATGTATGTATGTATGTATGTATGTATGTATGCATGCATGCATGTTCGTACGTACGTATGTATGTATGATTTATGTATGTATGCCTTACTTCACGTTATTAATGTATATGAGTTAGAAGTATTAACAGCATCTACATACACACACAGATATGTATATATATATATGTATGTATGTATATATACATATATACATATATATATACATATATATACATATATATATATACATACATACATATATATATATATATATATATATATATATATATATATATATATATATATATATCTATACACACATACATATATATATATATATATATATATATATATATATATATATATATATATATATATATATATATATATATATATACACACATATATATGTATATATATATATATATATATATATATATATATATATATATATAGAGAGAGAGAGAGAGAGAGAGAGAGAGAGAGAGAGAGAGAGAGAGAGAGAGAGAGAGAGAGAGAGAGAGAGAGAGAGAGAGAGAGAGAGAGAGAGAGAGAGAGAGAGAGAGAGAGTCTACACCGTTAGGCTGCTCCTGGGTAGAACACCGTAAATGCAACATAATCACGCAAAGGTCAAATGTAGTTAAACTAGTTGGAAGAATTTACAGTGCTTCGGTTTAAATAGTTTATGTGTTTGTCATTTGGCTACCACTGCAAAATAATGATGGTGGGGTAACAATGTACCTAATAAAGTTTGTATGGTAAGGACATGAGTATCGATCGCTGTATAGGCAGACGAAAAGCTCTATTTTGATGTTAGGGCTTTTATTTTTTAACGACTTGTGATCTGCACACATTCTTTTCCTTCTATTAAAATTCCTAAAATAAAATAGCAAACGTTATTCCACAATCTACATAATACTACTGATATTACTGCCCCTTTAGTAAATTAACCCATGTTCCGAATTCTCACTAATATGTTACGAAAAGGACTAGTGTGCGATTATTCAATATGTTACCTACACCTTACTGGTACAATCTTTTGATATTAATAAATTCCCAAGAGTGTGCAGGCTAATCGTTCGTATTGTATGTTTGTCTGCATTCTAACCATTCCTTGCCAGTCTGCTTCCAGAGACTTGTAAAGCCCTTTATCTTATCTTCGCAATTACCATTGGGGGTTTCCTGCTGCAAATAACAACAAAGACAGTACTTGAAAGATGCACGTGTCCTCCCACGATGGAGATAAAGACGTAAATATTTTTTGCCTAAATGTAGAGGTGAAGCTGATAAAGGTGACTGATCAGTCAGAATTGAGTGAACCGATTTATCCATTTTTTTTGGTATATGCGTGCTTCTGTTTATGAGTACATTCTTATAAAATATTTTGTTTATCAAACACTTTATATAAAGTACTTGTGTAGATTTTTAAAACGAGATTTTGTTTGAGAAGACTACACGCGAAAAAAAAATGATGTGCAATATAATAGTGGTGGAGCTTGGATAATGATGAAAGACTGGAAAGTTTTTTTTTTATAAATACACACATAACCATCCATCATCCATCATCCATCCATCCATCCACCCATCCATCCATCCATTCATCCATCCATCCATCCATCCATCCATCCATCCATCCATCCATCCATCCATCCATCCATCCATCCATCCATCCATCCATCCATCCATCCCTCCCTCCCTCCCTCCATCCCTCCCTCCCTCCCTCCATCCATCCACACTGATTTGTAGCGGTATGTATAGACTTCACATATCCAGATCATATTGCAATTAAAATGTTATGTTCTTATGATGGTATATATTGTGCCTATGAGGTTGGAAATGCTGCTTATGAGAGTGGAAATGGTGCTTATGAGGTATATATTGTGCTTATGAGGGTGGAAATGCTAGTTATGAGGGTATATATGGTGCTTATGAGGGTGGAAATGCTGCTTATGAGAGTGGAAATGGTGCCTATGAGGGTATATATTGTGCTTATGAAAGTGGAAATGCTAGTTTTGAGGGTATATATGGTGCTTATGAGGGTGGAAATGATGCTTATGAGGGTGGAAATGCTGGTTATGAGGGTATATATTGTGCTTATGAGGGTGGAAATGCTGGTTATGAGGGTATATGTTGAGCTTATGAGGGTGGAAATGCTGCTTATACTGCAAATATGATTAAAATATATTTTAAAGGCGAACAAGGTCAAGCACAGAGAGTAGAAATTGAATCATGTTTTCTTGACAAGCAAAACGCCATTATCAAAGTGCGTTTTAACTATAGAGCTACAATTCCGAGAATGTACCTTTACATAATCTGACTTTGAAGGTGTGAAGTTATTTAAACTCTCTATGTCCTTAAAGCTGTATTAGTTTACCCTGTCTCGACTTTATCAAAGTCATACGAAGAGTCTTGCTACTGGAAAGGCGCTTTTGACCCATGCATAGTTAGCAGTAGTAACATAAAAACTTAACTGTAATCTTTATTAATATTCTAAATCTGTTTAATTTGGCATATACTTATTTTTGCTTTGAGCCTGCGGCAAATGTGCAGAGTGGTTTTACATAGTAATCACAAATTGTTTTGTCTCTTGTCTCTTTAAGGTTTCCCATATTAATGAAGAGATGCATTGCAGGCGACTGTTCACCTAATAAAGATATATATTTTGCCAGTCTTATTGGTGGCATAAATGGTAAACTATTCATTCCATTTCACATGACATATTTTGTCACGCATATCACCATATATCTGATGAGCAACAAACATTTTCTACTCCCTAAAATTCTAGAATAGAAATAAACATTGTCTTAATTTCTGATGGTTTCAATGCTTTGAAATGTACATAAAAACTAAAAACACAATTGAAAAGTTTTCGTTAATCTGAGCTTTTACTACAAACCATAGAGCTGCTGGGCATGTTATGTTTTCTGAAGTCGTGGATGTACAAAGTCATGTTGCAATGACAGGAAACGGCAGGTCAAAAGATGACGGGAAAAAAAACCCCTATCAAATATTTAGACTTCAACAATAGCCATATCAATGATTGGAATGTTGCTGTTAAATTAATTGGTGCATCACCCGTTTAAGCAACAATTCCAATTGAGCACATTGTCTAATGTGATACACGCGTTGCACAGAAAGAGAAATAGAAGATAGTATATCTAACGATAAACTAATTGAACAGAAGAAAAATAATGAACGATACGTTAGATATTGACGTGGTAGAGACAAAGAAGTCTACGAAAGACTGGTCTTTTACGATCACAGTAGGAACAGATGAAGACCAACTTCCGTGATGAAATATAATTATATGATTTAGATATTTAAATGCTAATAAATCATTTTATCCTCAAAACGGTTCACTTGCTAAATAATGTGTTGATTTAATACAAATAAATTGCAAAATTGACGACACCAACAACAAATAAAAAGAAAAACTGCAAACAATACAAACAAACAAAATAAGCAAACAGCAATACAAATGCGTGTTGAAAGCTATGGAAGCAACTTGTGTATAATCAAATGAAAAGATCAAAATGAGAACGGATTTTACATTATATTTTGATGTTGAAAAATAAAATCCAGGAATAAAATAATAAATAATATTATATATTATTTGTGGAGTGTGGACTAAATATAAATGTCCAAACGAATGAGCATAGGTTTCAACGATCAGGAGCACATGTTTAGAACATATAAATTTGCATTCAAAAGAATCTTGAATTGAGCAGTGAACCGGAAGCAGATGAAACAGAAATATACGAAAGTATAGAGATATTAAAACTGAAGCAGAGACTGAAGTGGACATACCAAGTTTTACATTTGACGCTGAATGGATGAGTTAAAAAAGAAATCAATAATAACAAAAAGAAGTTTAAATAAGTTACTAATTGTCTGGATGTATGATGTTTTACCGCTTACAACTTCTAGTTAATCATCTCGAGAAGATGGAACATATAATGTTATACATGTTGAACATTTGTAATGTCAAACTCCATTCCAACCGCTCCGGTGGTCTAGTGGTTAGAGCGTCCGCTTCGGATGCGGGAGGTCGTAGGTTTGATTCCCGGTCGAATCATACCAATGACTTACAAAAATGGTACTAACAGCTGTCGCACCTGACGCTCACCATTAAGAGGTTAGTGTTAGGACTTGTCGGCCTGGTGTTAGAATAATGTGACTGGGTGGGATATCATGCCACATGTCTGCGGCACGATGCCCCAGTGCTAGACATCACTATAAACTGCTACACTGCAGAAATCGTAGCGATATGACTGAAAAATTGTTAAAGTTATGTTAAAAATCATAACCACATCACATCAAACTCCATTCCAGAGATTATTACGCTTTACTGAATGCAAGTTTGACAAAACACAAACAATAAATGTAGCTCAAATAATACAAAATGATCCCTACGCAAAACTTGTGTCAACAAATACACGAAAATGACGTCGATTGTACAGCGACTTTGACATTATGTAATTTAGTATCAGTCAGTTTACTGACTATTAATTAAGGATCATTGTGCTTTTTGCCGTTGAATAGGATCTTATAGAAGCTATCCAAATGAGAACAATGTTCAAAATACTGGAGTAAACAAAAAGAATGACATCTTCAGTCATAATGTAAAATATAACTTGCAGCAGTGTCCAAGTTTTTACTCTGAAGTAGAATAGATTAAAACATTGTTTATATGAAAAACAGACTGCGTGAGTCGAAGTCACATCCTTTATTAAAAGAGAAATGACAACATAGGAAGCAAGACTCTATTCAAGTTAACTGATCCAGATGACCTGAAAGAGAAAAAAAAAGAAAATCGAAAAGTCAAGGACATGCTACGGAAAAAGATATGATGAATTAAAACTGTGTTTGGATAAATGTCCACGTGAATGAATGACCGAGAATAGCGAGCAAATAAAGCTGTGTTGTTATATATTTCAAACATATCCTGTATTATTGTGGATAATATCTTTCCACTAATATTTAAGTGTCATTTCCATAAAGCGTTTAAACCTCTCTGCAAATTATTTTATGACATCATCTTTTACTCAACTGTAATGTAGATTGTTATGTGAATCTGAAGTTATCTAAAATTCAACTACTAATACTCTCCTTAATTTCTGAACCTATCAACATGGAAATTCTTACTGAATGATATTTATTTTTGTAAATGGACGGTATAATTCTTATGTTGTCATCTATATCAATTTCGAGCAATGTTTCATATAACTTAAGGCTGTCATGATATTGTACAATACAAATGAACAATGATATATAGTTTGGACATTTAAAATTTAAGTTGCACTCCGATTGCGCTGGACGTCTATACATGTTTGTTAAACGTTTATGGGCTATATTGTCTTGCCTTTGCCCCTGTGCAGACTATAGGTGTTGGGTAAATAATTCCTCTTGTGATGGTTTTGTAGTAATATCCAATATATTGCACAATAATATCTTGTGTAAAGTACAAATAGAAGACTTCTAGAATACAAGTTCACTATTAAAATTTTATATCTCTGGTAAAATGAGTGTTTCAAAATCACCAGAAACAACATACGTAGCTTCAGATAGGTGTAATGTATACTTCATTTATATTGTTTGTTAGGTTATTGTAGCCATTATATGCAATAGGTTATTTAAATTGTATTTTATTGCTGACCATGTCCAAAATCAAGTCGATTTTCTACATGACCGGAACCATTGATTTTGGTTTTGTTAACAAAATGTTTATCTCAGTTTGGGTCCAGAACATTGGAAATTGCCCATGTAATGCCGGATCTATTTGAAGTCTATCACATTCTATATTATAATTATAGTAACAGACGTTGCCAAATTAAAGCTTGGAATGATTTGGAAATGAACTTTTGTCCTACATCCTGGTATGTCTTTTGTATCTTAGTTTTAATTAACCTTGTCTATCTAAAAAATATTCATCCTTGTTTTAAAATATGGAAGCAGAATCATTGATGTGTTTAGTGTCTCGTTTGGTCTGAAGTCATTTAGTTTTATTCAAATTATTTTTTTCTGGAAATACAAGGCGCTCTAAAAAAATCTTGGAAAGACTTTAAGTGAATTATAGCGAAGACAAACAAGGAAGCCTTGAATTATATTGCAAAAGACTGCTCACATATCATTATAATTGAGGTCATTAGTACATTAACACATTAAAGACTACTACCATTCAAGTTACATCATCACCTTCAGTGTTTGAAATTATTTGGAATATCGCTGAAGTGAAGAAAAATTTAATAGTTAGGACTTATGTTATCAATTTTATGATTTCTGGGATTTAATTCGGAATAACGTAAATTCTTTTACATTTTCACTTTGCATTAAAGGGAAATTATTTATTTGCTGACTTTACAAACGTGTTGCTTCTCACTCTTTTTTATGACTTATTTTAAGAATATAGAGTCGTAATAAGTAGTGTTGATAGATGTTTAAGTTTTTAACCGAACACTGTTAAGGCAGTTATGTAGCGAGTTATTGGCATAGTAAAATAGTATCTGGGTTCTGTAATGGATAAAAATTTTGTAAATTAATTTCTGTAGAATAATTTCACAGTGTATACTATCGTTTGCAGTGTGACATGTTTACATTAAGTTTCACGCATGGGTTAGATTCACCATAAATTGTTGACTGCTAGGGATGGAATTTGTTAAGTTTGGGGCATGAATTGAAGTTTAATTAGAACTCCCGCGGTTAACGGTTAGAACAAGTCAATTTTCTCTCAAGTCTCATTCATATGTGCAAATCTGCTTTCACGGAAGAAAACTATCGATTTTTTTCGAAAATGATTTTCTTTAAAAATGTTTAAATGTTTTAATGCCTAGCAATTCCCCCAAGTACTATCATTGCTTTGGGATGCTACTTAGATACATTAGGGATTTATATATAATATATATTCAAGACACATATCATTCTAGCGGTGGTGTAAATCTTCAAAGTTATATCTAGAATATAAATTTATTCAAGGCAAGTAATTCGTTAAAGCACACTGAGGATTCTCGCTGTATTATGTAAGCATGCGTGACATGTAAAATGTTTCATTTAGCATTTTATGTTCGCTCTCCATTGTCGCTGCACAAAGGGATATCGTTTCTCTAGCTATTTCTGTGTGCTTCTTGCACTAGTGATTTTAAATTTTGATGTTTTACATTTTTTGACTGTTAGCGTCCAATTCATTGTGATTTTGGATGGTAGTACATAAAAAGAACAAATTCATAGTATTTGAACTCTTAGTACGTGTACTAGTGAATGGAGAAAGCTTGAGTTTGTATTTAGAACCTTGATTCCAATTCATTCTCAATTGCATTTGTTAGCATTATTAGGTATCGTCGGTACTGCACGAGTGTTTGTGAAAATATCGTCGTCTCATTTTTATTGTTCAAGAATACCAAACTTTCCATGAAAAACCTAAACATTGTTCAACGCCAGATGTTATAAGAATGTTATAAATGAAGTCTTTGAGATAAAGTAAAGAGTTTGGATGGTACTAGAAAAAAAAAGTTATGGTTACTCTAGCATTTTATAATGTAGGCTACTTATTGAAGTGAGTTTGTGTGTCAGTGTTTGTGGGATTTTTTTTGGTGTGATTTTGTGTTTTGGATTGTTAAGGTAGCTTTAACAATTTTGCAGCCATACCGCTGCGATGTCGGTAGTGTGGCGGTACGTAATGATGTCTAATACTGGGGCATCATGCTGTAGACATGTGGCATCATGTCCCACAAAGTCACATGATCATGACACCAGGCTGACCAGTCCAAACACTAACCTCTTAATGTGAGCGCCAAGTGGGGCTGATATTAGTACCATTTTTTAAAATAAGTATTTGTTATGACTTCAAACCCTCGACCTCCAACATTCTATACGGCAAGCACTAAGGCCCAGAAGCGGTCTAGTTTATGAAAGATACGGTTTCTATTATAAAACAAACAAAACAAATAAAAAATATATATTTAAATGCATCGCCAGATGTTATAAAAATCTTTCATTAAATGATATTAACCAAGGCTTGGAGCAATATTCTAAATTTGAGATTAATGAATCCACGGCAAATAAATTCAAAGATAGGCTAAATACTGTATGCCAGTCTGTCTGAATAGTAACCAAAGTGCAAAGAGTAACAGAAAGAAAGCAATGTCTCTGTAAGGGAACACATGATGCTTGTGTAAGAGATTTTGTTTGCTTGTGGTATCGAAATCGGTAGGAAATATGAGTAAGTGCTCTGGTATAATTGATATTGCACAGTGCATGATAGTACTGGAAATCGACTCCTGTAGCGCACATGGAACACTGTTGTTTTTATGGGAGAGATAAATATGTTGGCCTTGCCACTTATATCCGTCACAGAAGCATGTCTTTGTAACATGGTATGTTTGCCACCAACAATGAGAGGATAGAATCGTCTGTCGTTTTCAGATTTAGTTCATTCGCATTGATAATTTTAAATGACTGAGAAATAAAAGATCAATCTGATATCGAGGCGTATATGTAGCTGTAGTCTTTGCGGAGAAAAGCCTATCCAATTTTCAATTAAGATGTCTTTTGTTTGGCGTTTGCAGTAAGTCCGGCAATTGAAAGTTCATTTCGAGGTAATCATACGCATGAATGAGAGACAGCAGAACTTTAATATTTGCCTGAGGAACATCTTTTTCCGCGAAAATTATCTTTAAGTGCAATTTCTCTTTTCGGTATAACTTCAAAATTGAAGCTTCGGAAATTTGTTTGCACCAGTGATTTCCAATCAAGGAAATTGATTATCAGCTCTTGTCTGCAACCGGAACCGTATGCCCCTCTGCGTACTATTATTTATTTTTGAGGAAGAGATGTGTTGTTTTCCCAAACTAGTCATTATGTAAGCAGCCACAAAATCGCACACATACACACACACACACAAACATATATATATATATATATATATATATATATATATATATATATATATATATATATATATATATATATATATATATATATATATATATATATATATATATATATATATATATATATATATATATATATGTTCGTTGAAAAACATACAAACATGCATGCATACATACATACATACATACA